GTTCCCGTGTTGCTGTTAACCGAAGCGAATACACACATAAAACGTCGCTCATGGAGATAGTATTTCTGCGCGATTTTCCCGTGACGTACCGGTACGATACTCGTACTCTAAGTGGAGTAAGATTCTGCTATGCATTCTTATCATCGGCGACGAATTTTCGAACTACATTGGTGGGGGCTAACACAGATAAGTAAATATTTCGACTTTAAAAATTATCGCTACCAATAAATATTCCCAACGAAATCTTACCTTTTTTTGGTACCGAATACAAAGTTGTGGTATCTTTTTTCAATAGCTCAAACGGTTCCCGTGTTACTGTTAAAAGCAGCGAATATACACCAATAACGTCGGCTAGGCGAAAGTAGTTCTTCGCGACTTTCACATAACCTACTGCGGCGATATTAGTACTCCAAATGTTGTTTGATTCTGCTATGCATTCTGGACGTCGGCGCCGAATTTTCGAATTACAATGTGGGGGAAAATACAGTTGATAAAATATTTCTACGTTAGAATTAATTCAAACAAATAAATGTTCCCAACGAAATCTTACCTTTTTTTGGTACCGAATACAAAGTTTGGGTTTGTTATTTCAATAGCTCAAACGGTTCCGGTGTTACTGCTAAACTAAGCGAATATACACATATAACGTCGCACTTGGTTATAGTAGTTCTTCGCGACCTTCGCATATCATACTGCGGCCATTCTCGTAATATAAATGGCGTACGATACTGCTATGCATTCTGGACGACGGCGTCGAATTTAGATCTACGATGTTGGGCGAAAATACAGACAATTAAATCCTTCGACGTTAGAAATAATTCCTAAAACTAAATGAGACCAAAGAAATCTTACCATTTTTTGATACCGAATACAAAGGTGTGCTTTGTTATTCAAAGCTCAAATAGTTCCAGTCTTACTGTTAAACAATGCGAATATACATAAATAACGTCGCATAAGTTTATAGTAGTTCTCCGCGACCTTCGCACATCATACTGGGACTATTCTCATCCACTATATGGCGAACGGTTCTGCTATGCATTCTAGACATCGGCGCCGAATTTTCGAACAACGATGTGGTGGAAAATACAATTATTTAAATATTTAGACTTTAAATATAGTTCCTTTAAATATAGTTCCTTTAAATATAGTTCCTTTAAATATAGTTCCTTTAAATATAGTTCCTTTAAATATAGTTCCTTTAAATATAGTTCCTTTAAATATAGTTCCTTTAAATATAGTTCCTTTAAATATAGTTGAATTCCTTCAGCTAAATGTATCCATCGAAATCTTACAAATTTTTGATCCCGAATTTAAATGTGAACTTGGTTCTTCAATATCTCACACGGTTGCCGTGTTACCGTTAAACGAATCCAATATACACCTATAGCGTAGGATAGGCGATAGTAGTCCTTCGCGACTTTCACATAACTAAGAGCGGTAATTCTCGATCTCCAAAGGACGTACGATTCTGCTACGCATTCTGGACGACGGCGTCGAATTTTAGAACTACGATTGTGGAGGCAAATACAGATAATTAAATATTTCGAAGTAAAAAGAATTGCTAAAACAAAATGTGACCAACGAAATATTACCATTTCTTGACACAGAATACAAAG